GCATTGCGCGTGGTATTGGGGAGCGAGGCCGTGCGAGACTGGGGCCTTGGGGGAAGGGACAGGGCATCAGGGAAAAGGGGCGGCACGGGGGACAGGCACGGTTCAGGCACCGCTGCCCCCCCCCACACACACTTTTAGGAAGTTTCTGCCACTCCCGGTTGTGCAGTGTTTGAGTGCTCAACTGGAAGCAGGGGCATTGGGAGGATTAATTAGCTCACGACCTTAAATTCACTCCTGGATTATGCCATCAGAAAGCAGGGGATTCCTGGCAAGGGAAAAGTCCATCAAGGAAAAGCTGTTGTGACATGAGGCATCTGCAACCTCTTCTCTGCCAGCGAAGACCCGTGGAATGGGAAGAGGGGCATGGCCAGGGTGGCTGGAGCATGCAGTAAGGTCCATTCCCTGGCCAGTCTCTGCCAGGTTGAGCCCTGCCCTGGTGGGAAGGAAAGCTGACCTCTCCCATCAGAACCGCTGCCTGAAAAGGCAGCCTGCACTTCCCCAGTTAGAATCCCTTCCCCCAGAATGCAATAGCATTCCCGAGGTCAGCAGGGCCCTTGGATTCCTCCGCCCGAGTCATCGCTTGCTGCTGCGATTACCTGGGATGTCCAGGGTGTCCTTCATATTGCAGCACTCCAGGAAGCGGCACTTGAGCCAGGAGGCAGGGGAGAAGAGCTGCCACATGACCGCGGCCCCGCAGAAAGCAAGTGAGGTGGTGATGGGCTCCAGAGCTGACACCAAAGTGGGCACCAGAGCGAAGAATCCAGCCATGTTCAGAAGCTTCATGGCAGGAGCTGAATGCCAGCCTGGCTCGGTGAAAGCAAAAGGGAAAGCATCAGAACATGACTTCCTGATGTGTTTCTGCAATCTCAGGATGTTCTGAGAGCTGGAGGCTAGTTCCCATTAGCCTGGATAAGCCACTGATGCAATAACAAGAGTTGAGTCATCATCACATTATTATATTTGGTGTTAGCCTAAGGGCAAAGTCCCATCCTGAGCCGGGTTATGTCCCTGTTGGGGGGGCGGGAGGGGGCGCAAGCCTCAAGCCTCAAGACCCTGCACGTTTGGGGCTTGATCCCATGAGGTGTTGAGCTCCTTGAATCCCACTGACTTCTGCAGGAGTCGCGGGCACGCAGCACCTTGCAGGACTGAACCTTTCGCCAGCAGATACCAGGGTGGAGAGCATCTTGTTCCTTTTTAAAGTAAAGCCCTCTACAGAGCAGGTTCCATTGACAGCGCTGCCCTGGCAAGGTGTCTCAGGGTCGTTCTGGGCAGCTCCAGTCTCCATGCCCTGCACGGCTTGGTCGATTGGAGAGGCTAGGCAAAGTCCCAGATGAGGAACAGGATGTGTGTAGGCTCGAAAACGAATTCATCCTCTGGACAAACATTTGAAATAATTTTCTCTGCAATGACCAGTAAAGGTGTTCTGAAAATGATTTTTCCCCCGTGGAAAATTTTCAGGTTTAGTTAAAAAAAAATCAAATACTGATTTTTTTTCCAACAATCTCCCCACCCCAATATTATTGACAGAAGTGGTTTCTTTTGGTTTTGACTAAATCTTATTTTTCAATGAAAAAAGCTTTTCATTGGAAAAATTCCAACCAGCTTTATTTATCCGTCAAGACTTGTGTTAAAGATTCGGTGTCTCCCTTTCACCAGCTGATGGCTGGGGATGTTCGCCTGCAATGGGGTGTCCATCCCACACAGGACTCGAAGGGGTTAAGCTGGTCATGCAGGCCTAGGAACTCCACAGGCTGCACCTGGAGGAAGAGCCAGGGAGCAGGGACTTGACTGCAAGCAGGTTCAGCTGTGCAGGAATAGGTGGGGCTTATACAGACCGGGGCTGCTGCTGGGAAAGGGGCAGTCAGTCCCTGGGAAGAGGGAGGAGTGTTTGGAGTTGGTATATCACAGTAGGGGGGAACCAGGAAAGGTAGGAAACAGTCCAGAGAAAGACCAGTGAGGGCTGGGAGAGTAGAGCCCAGAACTGCCAGGTGGAGGGTCCCTGGATTGGAACCTGGAGTAGACAGCAGGCCTGGATTTCCCTACCCACCATGGGGGAAGTGGCACTGATGGGGCAGTGAACTGGAAGACTGGCTGGGTCACTATGGGGAGTGACAGAGACTTTGGGGGACTGTACCGTGTAAGGGGGCCGGGAACGCTGAGTAACCTGGCCAGAGGGCTGAGTCATGAAGAGGATGCTATGGTACTTGGCGTGAGAGAGGAGCTGCAGACGGTGTGACGGCGTGCGACCATGGAAAGGGGTGTGACCTTGAGAGCTAATCCCCAGAATGACCAGGAGGAGGTGCCAGAGAAGCAGTGAGTGGTGCACCCCGTGACATAGCCTTTTTACTGCCCTGTAGGGGCTGACGGTCAGGGAGGAGATCAGTAGAAAAGGAGAGGGGAAGAGAGATAAGAGCAGGAGGAAGAGAGAGGCAACAGACCAAGGGGAGAAATAGAAATGTTGAGGGGATAAAAAGGAGGAGGGGGATAGAAAGGGGAAGAGATATAAAATGGAGACCTGAGCCAACAAGGGGAAGATGGGTACAGCCATTCCTTTAATTTCCTGTACTGATGTGACGGGTGCTAGGTGCTCCGAGGAGCAAGGCAACAAGAGGCAGACAGAAAAACCTGTGGGGGGCAGGCTGGCCTAGTGGAGACCTGGATCGGGCCCCCAAGATCCAGCTTGTGTTCCTGGCTCTGCCACTGCTCTACTGTGTGATCTTGGGCAAGTCACTTCCCCTGTCTCAGAGGATAATGATAATGACCTCCTAGGTAAAGTGCTTGGAGACCTTGGATGAAAATCACTCTATAAGAGCTGGGTATCATCATTGCTGAAAAGGACACTGCCAGGAACTTGGAGAGGAGTGTTCACTGCAACATGGGTAGATAAGTAGGCATGGTGCATGTGTCCTGGAGAAACAATTAACAGGCAGGAGTTTGTGAGAGTAATGGCACCAAAAAATAACCAGAGAACTAAGGATGGATATGAAAAAAAAAATAGCAAGCCCCAGTTTTAAGCTTTTTTTTTCAATAACCAGATCCATAACCCACTGGAGTCAACAGGAATCTTTCGAGCTTGTGCTTGTGATTTTCTCCAAGAAAGCTCATCGATCATCTGGAAGTTTGTATTGACTAGCCCCAATGTTCATAGTCCCTGAATGCTTTGTACATTGACTAAGTAGAGTATTCCAGCGCCCTAATTGGTTTGTAACCTAGCCCAAACTACCTGTTATCTGTGCTCCTGCTGACTGATACAAGCCAGGGTCCATGCGGTGGATCTGTTAATGCTTGAATTGTCAAATATTTATCAGACTCCACTTCTTTCAGCTGGAACTCCATTGGCCAATGAGCACCTTTTAGCACCTGGGGTGGTGGGTTTGGATTAATACTGTCCTTCAGCACCCTGGACAGCTCCCCTTCTTTTGCACATCTCCAGGTTTCCAATTAACACATTTGAAAGGGGAGTTCAGAATCTTGGCCCAGGGAGGAGAACCTCCCGCCACAGCAATGTGAGACCCAAAGGCATATGACTCAGACTGCGGCAAGCTTCTCCTCTGTACTTGTGTTCTGTCCCACCGAAGAGTGAGCATTTAACATACATATTTGGTGAGACCTCATCTCCTTCATGCTCGACCTCCTAAGACATATATCTTTCACAAACCTAATATATCTTTCTCCCAGTCACCGGACTCTAGGCTCCATTGGTGAAACAAGGTAAGAGTTGCTTTAGATACAATGGAATATGGCCTAATTCGGTCTAATTCTCCATTACCATGCACACTTGTATAGTCACAAAAGTGGTGCATGTGCTACCATTCTCCTTTAATAGCATGATACACTCACTTGGCGCTGGTGTAAATGAATAAACAAGGTGCAGAGCAATGGAGAATCAGAGCCCTGGCCTCTAAACTGTGCCCCCTGCCTCCTCAAGGGAGTACAATATGATTAAGCTGAAAATCTCTTTATCAATGATATGAGCATATAGTAATCGGTGTTTAACTGATATGTTTCCATATGTGCTCCTCAGTCCCACTGATTTACAAGCAGGGTTAGAGGTGAAAATGGACTGCAGTTAGGGAGGCTAGACTGGGTCAGTGTAGTTATTAAAGTTATATGGTGTGACAGCATCGGGCCAGATGGCTACAGGAGAGTGATGGAAGGCAGATTAATTAGACCCAGGTTAAGCAGGTGCCTTTTCCCTGGGTAAGGTAACGGGCAGTTCCAGAACAATCAGGAACTTGCTGGAACAAATTAAGACAGACAAGCTAATTAGGACACCTGGACCCAATTAAGAAACTGCTAGAATGAATTAAGGCAGACTAATCAGGGCACCTGGTTTAAAAAGGACCTCACCACAGGACCTCACAGACCTCAGGAGGAAGGTCCTGTGGTGAGGATAAAGAAGATGTTGGGAGGAGGCCATGGGGAAGTAGCCCAGGGCGTTGTAGCTGTCACGAAGCTGTTACAGGAGACATCATAGATAGCTGCAATCCACAGAGCCCTGGGCTGGAACCCAGAGTAGAGGGCGGGCCCGGATTCCCCCCATCCCCTCACCTCCCTTTTTGATATAAGAGGAGTTGATCTGGACTGTGGGTCCCACCAGAGGGGAAGGTCTCTGGCCTGGCCCTCAACCCATTAGGTGGGCCAGCAGAGACTGTGGGGATTGTTCTCCTCCTTTTCCCAATGCTGGCCAGTGATGAGGTTAGCCAAGTGAATGGCAGGTTTGTGCCACTAACAAAACGAGCCAAACTGAGGACTGCCATGAACCTCTGAGGCGAGCAAATCTGCCAGAAAGCACAGAACCCACCAAGGCAGAGGAGGAACTTTATCACAATGGAGAGAGAGTAATAGAGGTACTTTATTATGTACTTTATTACAGTAATGGCCAGAGGCCCCACTCAAGACTGGGGTTCCATTGGTCTAAATGCTGTACAAATACACAGTAAGAGATGATCTTTGCCCCAAAGAGCTTACAATCAAAAGTTTGTTACTTTGCCTTTATTAATCCACACATGACTCTGGGAAAGGCAGCCTGGCCTAGTCGGTAGAGCCTTGGATTGGTACCACGAAACCTGGGTTCTGTTCCTGGCTCTGCCACTGGCTTTCTGGATGACCTCAGACAGGTCACTTTGCCTTTGTGTGCCCTCCATTTCCACATCTATAAAATGGAAATAATGATACTGACCTTTGTAAAGTGCTTTGAGATGAAAAGTGCAAATTATTATTATTTATTATATTGCAGATCAGCTACAAGCTTCTACATCAGTTGTGTGTGTGTGGGGGGGGAATAAGATATAAAAAAGAGATTCAAGATTCCACTTTCAGAGTGTGTCCCATCCATAGAGCTTTAAAAAACACTTATCAGCTTATCCTCACGGTGCACCTCTGAGGTAGACAAGTGTTGTTATTTCTATTTTAAAGATGGGGAAACTGAAGTACAGGAGTACTGTTTCCAAATTCCCAGCTTTAATTTGTGCACCACATGATCCTCAGCTTGGTAACAAAGTTAAGATCCAAAAGGGCATAGTTAATATCATTGTCAGGAGAAGAACTCGAAAAGGAACTTTCCCACCCGTTAGCAGGCAAAGCTCAATGAGAGAAAATCCATCTGATAATTTTTCACACCCTAGGCCTCATTCTCCGCTGCCCTGCCCCTCGAGGTGTCAATTATACCTGTGCAAAGTGAGTGTGAAGTGGCTGTGAAATGCTATCAATTCAGGATGGTTGCATTTCAGACCCACTTTGCACAGGTATGTCAATGAGTGCACATGTTGCAAGGCAGGAGAGAGGATCGGGCTGTAGCTCATCTCTGTGTGATGGGTTAGATCACAGAAACCCCCTTGGGTTTGTCAACTGATGTGCCAAGACTACTTCTGCCCCTGCTTTCCCTGGGACTCCAGCACCCTGTCTTGTTGAGCCAGATACGCCAGTCTACTCCAACACAGACCCAGGGTCTGAATCACGTGCCCCAAAGCTGCAGACTTAACTGAAAGCAACTTACAGAAGTGTTCCTGTCTTTAACACTCAGATGCCCAACTCCCAATGGGGTCCAAACCCCAAATAAATCCATTTTATCCTGTATAAAGCTTATACAGGGTAAACTCATAAATTGTTCGCCCTCTATAACACTGATAGAGAGATATGCACAGCAGTTTGCCCCCCCCAACCCCCCAGGTATTAATACATACTCTGGGTTAATTAATATGTAAGAAGTGATTTTATTAAATACAGAAAGTAGGATTTAAATGGTTCCAAGTAGTAACAGAACAAAGTGAATTACCAAGTAAAATAAAATAAAACATGCAAGTCTAAGCCTAGTACAGTAATAAAACTGAATACAGATAAAATCTCACCCTCAGAGATGTTTCAGTAAGTTTCTTTCACAGACTGGATGCCGTCCTAGTCTGGGCACAATCCTTTCCCCGGTACAGCCCTTGTTCTAGCTCAGGTAGTAGCTAGGGGATTTCTCATGACTGCAGCCCCCTTTATTCTGTTCTACCCACTTATATATCTTTGGCACAAGGCAGGAGTCTTTTGTCTCTCTGGGTTCCCCCCCCCCCCACACTTCTAAATGGAAAAGCACCAGGTTAAAGATGGATTCCAGTTCAGGTGACATGATCACATGTCACTATAAGACTTCATTGCCCACTTGCCAGCACATACGTATACAAGAAGACTTACAAGTAAAACAGAGCCATCTACAGTCAATTGTCCTGGTTAATGGGAGTCATCAAGATTCCAAACCACCATTAATGGCCCACACTTCGCATAATTACAGTAGGCCCTCAGAATTATATTTCATATTTCTAGTTTCAGATACAAGAATGATACATTCATACAAGTAGGATGACCTCACTCAGTAGATTATAAGCTTTGTAATGATACCTTACAAAGGACCTTTTGCATGAAGCATATTCCAGTTACATTATATTCACACTCATTAGCATAGTTTCATAACATCATATAGAGTGCAACATCACACTCAGGGCTCGTCTACGCACGGAATTAAAGTGGAGGCAGTGATATCGGCATACAGGTGTTTATACTAGTTGTGACAGGCTGACAATTCCCTGTAGTATCCTGAACAAACCTTATAGAATTAAGAAACTTTATTGAATTAAATTAAACCTTATTGAATTAGGGTTAATATCTTTGGGGTACATTGTATTAAAAATGCAATTGAGTGTGCAATTGAGTGCAATTATTGTAGCATTGTATGTACCTTCTCTAGATGCTAATGTACTTCCTCTGTTATCAACCCTTTGTAGCAACCCCCCTGGAGAGAGATGCATATACTGGTTCCAATTGGATTCTCCAGGGGCCAACAGGCAAAGAAAAAGCTTTTGGATAAAGAGCCTGGTTTTAAACAGGCTGATGGCCTTCTTCCTGCTCCAGCAAACGGACAGGACCCCGGTTCACAGAGGGCCCTAATCCTTAGGGGAGGGTTTGAAGGACTGGGCCTACTGAGGCCTCATAAGCCTGGGTGCTTGTTCTGAGTTGAAGCTGTGATGAGCTGGTAACCACAAGGAATCCCCCTTGTGTGGGAGTTTAAAGGACTGTTCCTGTCAGAATCCATGTTAGGTTGGGGTGATCTGGGCATGCGTGTAGGTTCTTTCATTGTTTTTATCTGTTTTCTCTGTGGTGCTTTTCACCTTAAGAATAAAGCAGGCTTGCATAGAAAGTGCTGGCTGGTAAGTTATATCTGTAGCAAAGGTTACAGTCAACCTGTTAAACAGCTCTGAAGATGAAGCAAGCAGGTGTCTTTGTGCTGGGAAATACACAGTGAAGGCAGGGAACTGTTCAGCCTGGAAATACGCCAGTCAGAAGGGAGAGAAGGGCGTGTTCCTCAACCCAACAGCAGCAACAGCTGGGAGCCTAGAGTGGGTGCCCTTGCTGGTCCACTGAGGGGAAATGCAGGTGTGGTTACCCGGAACTGTGACACCGGTGTAGATATTCCTGTATGGGATTTGGAATAGTGATACTGGTATAAGGCACCTGCTTACCGGTATAACTGTGCCCACACTAGGGGTTGTACCAGTGTCATGATATTGGTTTAAAAAAAATCACATCCTTATCCAAAATAGTTCCAGCTGTACAAAAACTGTGTGAAGCCCTTAGAGCGTTCTAAACCACGCTGAGCCCTGTTCCTCCAACTCAAACCTCGGCTTCTTTGCATTTATTTGTATGAACACCAGATGGCGCAACAACCAAGGTCTTAGAGCTAGCAGGGGTCGGCAACCTTTCAGAAGTGCTGTGCCGAGTCTTCATTTATTCACTCTGATTTAAGGTTTCGCGTGCCAGTCATACATTTTAACGTTTTTAGAAGGTCTCTTTCTATAAGTCTATAATATAGAACTAAACCATTGTTGTATGTAAAGTAAATACGGTTTTTAAAATGTTTAAGAAGCTTCATTTAAAAGTAAATTAAAATGCAGAGCCCCCCC